CCCCCCCCCCCCGCCCCCCCCCCCCCCCCCCCCCCCCCCCCCCCCCCCCCCCCCCGCCGCCCGCGATTGAAGGGGGCTATGGAAGAATTGATCAGTACTTCCGCTTTTGTACATGAGATATAATCATGATAATCAACGGATCTATACTTTCGTATTTTGTACGAATCTTCCTCCCTTATCTTCTTATGGTTGGTTACCAGCATTAATTTATCGTTTATTTTCATTTTCATGCTATGCTGCGTCTCGCTACCACAGTACCATGGGGGTAACCACATGATAATAAATACACCAGCCCGTTTCCTCGTATATCCTTTCCGCGTATATGCCTTTATATACGAATATTGTACGAAAAAGAAAGAACAAGCGACCAATCCTTTAAGCTGCCAATTTGCCCGTCTTTCATGTCCGCTATGAGCGCTCATCCCCGAGCGAGGAGACCTCATAGGAAATCGCGTGCAGGGTGTCGCAACTGTAAACAGAGGAGGGTAAAGGTGGGGGGAGCCCCTTTATTAAAATTCGCTTGATTTCTGACTCGCATTATCAACTCGACGAGCCGCAGGTGCTGACTAGAGACAACCGATATAGTGCGATGAGCTTAAACCGACTTGTGGGAACTGCTCGCGATTTGCCATCCCCTGCGACTTCTCGCCAAATCTAGCAGGGAGCCAGCAGAGCGATGATTTATTAAACAATACTCTGACTCAACGGAAGCGAGGGAGACCACGTAAAGATTGGTCGGCTATTACAGGACATTTCGGACCCCACGAAGAGATCTATGAAAGGTCCGAAACAACAGCGCCTAGTCTCGATCCGTTATCAATAAAAGGGTCGACTTCCTCGCCCCATTGGACTGTTGATGAACTTGAACTACTGCACCATTATCTGACCGATGGGCAACTCAGTCAAGGGGACAAGCTACTATGGCAGATCAAAGTGCCCCGTCTAGCCTTCACTCACCACTGCGCCCTTCATCTGATACTGGCCGTATCGGCCTTCCATCTGATGAGGCTAGAGCCGGATCGTTCAGAACACTTCAGGAGACTTGCCGGTGTCCATCATTCGATCGGGATCCGCCAAGCAACCGATCTTTTCCCTCGGCTTAGTAAAGATAACTGCTCTGCGCTATATGTGGCTTCAGCCCTGGCTTGTGCGTGCGGTTTTGCCAGAGGAACGACGCCAGGGAATCTCCTGGTTGTTGCTGAGGGCTGCGAGGTACCTTGGCTGGACTTACTAAGAGGAGTCCGGATTATTATCGAGAATATTGGCCTGGAGCACGTTTTCTCAGGCGTCTTGGGTCCGTTCCCGCCGCCACAACCCGAGAAGCCGTCTAGAAAAGAGGCATATCGTGTCGAGTTCGTACCATGGGAAGAGCCTTTGCAGAAGCTGTCGACACTTATTTCGGCCGCACCCGTATTGTCTCGCGGAATTTACAATAATACCCTCGGGTGCCTATCGTGGTGCTTCCACGAAACCTATGGGACATCTGCCGCTCCAAAGAATGAAATAATTGGACAGTTTCAAGTTATCATAGCATGGCTGTATAAATTAGATGAGTGTTTCGTCGGCTTCTTGCGTGAGAAACAACCCCCAGCCCTGATAATTCTAGCTCATTTCGCTATACTACTCAGTTCACTCGAGTACTGTTGGTTCTTGGAAGGGTGGGCAAATCATGTTTCCCAAGGCATCGCCGACTCCCTAGACCCGTCATATGAACAATGGTTGCAGTGGCCAAGCGAACAGATCGATAAATCTATTAAATCGCGAAGGAATTTAGAGAAATTCGCTGAATATTAAGTTATTAAGATATCGTTAGAATTGTCGAGTTAAGTATAATGTTAATTGAAAGTTGCATCACGAGGACCGAATAACAAACCACCTACGTACTCAATTTATACCCGAGCGTTGGACCAGTAGTTTAAGATCCATCCACTCTTATTAAGGTAGGCGAAGTAGGGGGTGACTCTATTGATACACTATTTACTCTTTCAAAGGCGAGATTCGGACGGGGAATTAATTTAACAAATACCGTCGTTGAGTTGTTTAACACATGAGTTAACTCTAAAAGCAATATACTCGCATTTGGCAACGCGAAGGTAAATGCGTAGTAGAGATACTAACACAGCACAGCTACTGATTTGGCTAACTTAAGCTAGTTACAAGAGTGGCATCCACGACGACTCTCAGGATGCTAACAATTATTAGAAGGTTCTCGTAAATGTTATTATGTAGTCCCCGACTCCTCTCAGGATTACTCTTCGCTAATAACTACCCCTTTAGGCCCATATCCTCGAGGATACCCTTCATAAATCATGGCTAACCCTTCAGCAAAAACACCGACTTCCAGGGCGGTATTGTGAAATCGCTGAATGGGCTAACCTCCGCAATTGTTTAAGAACGGATTATAAGATGAATGGAAGCTGCGGCAGCGTACAATGACGGCATTAGATTCGCGATATATCTTCAATCGGCGGTGGCTGCAGTGCTTGGCTCAGTAGGCGGAGGAGGAGGCGTTGCCGAAGACCCAACGGCTTCGTTTGTTGGATTTGTGCTACCCGCATTAGCTGCCCCTCCTCGACGGCCTCTTCCGCGACCACCTCGCTTAGGGCGATCTGGGGGAGTTTCAACACTCGTCTTGTCGCTCGCTGGTTGCGTTGGCGGTTGAGTCGACTTCTTAATCTCCTTTCTTTCCAGCACTTGCACAGTGCCTTGTGCAACAGGAATAGGGCTTGCAGAAATAGCCTTGACCAATCCATCATGATCCCCAAAGTCAACATATGCAAAGCCTTTCCGCTTGTCAATTTCGACAAATGTAACTGGCCCAAATGTTTCCATGGCCTGTTTAAGCAACGGCTCAGTAACACCTTGCGAAGGGTTTGCGTGTTTTACAAAGGCACGCGTTGCTCCAGCGGTCACTAATGGCTGGCCAGAGGCTTTCTTCTGCGAGGGACCCGATTTATTAGACGATGCGGCCTTACCAGCAGCCTTAGGGCCGGTTGGGGGGGTTGAAGTTGAGGAGGTTTGGATCGCGGGCGCTATTGGAGGTAGGCCACTTGAAGGGGCATCGTCTTTCCTCTTAAGGATGACTGGCGTGGTGATAGGGGTGGATTTTACTGCGCTGCTTGCATTATCGGCCCCCTTCCCCTTAGGCGTGTCACTAGGCGCGTTTTGCTTAGTAGACTTTGAACCTCGAGACCGTCGTGAACTTTCAGCTGTTTGAGCTTTTGGGGCTGTCGGGGCGGATGGGGGTGCCGATGAGGAGGGCTGACTTGGCGCAGCTGGAGCGGCAGATACAGAATCCTTAGTGTCCTTCTCCTTATTTGCATCTACCTTGGCGGCTGCTTCCGCCTTGGCAGCATCCTGACGAGCTCTTCTGTGGGCACTTCCTGGGCTAAGACCAAGATCGCGCTGTAGAATTTTGGCAGCAGCGGCAATATTAGCCCGCCGACTCTTAGGTGCTACCTCTTCAGCTGTCTTGCTCGTACTAGCCTGAGTGGAGGTCGATTTAGTTGCCTCAGCTGCGTCTAGGGTGGATGACTTCTTAGTGAGGAGTTTTATGGGCTCCTTAGCTTTCTTCTCTTCCTTATCAGCAGCCTTTTCAGCTCTCTCGGCCTTGGAGTCCTTTCCCTTTTTCTTAGATTCTTCCTGGCCCCCTTTTGCTTTTCCACCCTGAGACTCATGCCGAGCGTGTTTACCGCTCTTAGCATTACTCGTCTCTTTTCCCTTGTTGGCTTTCTTTTCTTTCAAATATTCAACCAGAGGCGTGGTAGTTACCTTCGTGTCTGCCTTGCTTAGATCATCGGCTTGTTCGGTATCAGCTTCCCTCACGGTAGACTCCTGAGTGAGGCTGTCGAGGAAAGCCATAAAATCGGGATCTTGGTCGATTGTACCTTGCTTAGAATCCGTACGCCTCTTCGTGGTGGGCACCTTCTGGTAGATAGAAAACTCTAGATATGGGGGCCCTACGAGGGCTGAATCGTTGAAAGTTCGTTTCTCGTCTTCCCAAGTTGGCTTTTGAACGGCCTCAGCTAATGCAGGTATGTCTTCGGATCGCACCTGCAAATAGCATCGTGTTGGCATTGATGGATTCGATGGACTAGACATGTAAGAATAAGTGGGTGTTTCTTCTTTACTAGGTTATAGTTTTTTATATATAATTCGTAGGACTCACTCCTGAGATATTTGGCCCTCTTGAAATCTAGTCCACTCTACTTTCCCGTTTCCACTCTTCCATTCCTCTCCCAAGATAGTCCAGAATTCCACCTCTGTTATGCCTGGCGGGAGTCGGCGAACTAGGACTTTCTTGCCCCGGGGAGAGTCCTTAGCCTTGGTGGCTTTTGGAGTCTCATTTGCCATGGGAGTGGAAGAGACTGGCAAAACTCCATTAGATTTTCTCGCGGTTGGAACACTCGCCATTGCGCATGTGATTATCGTCGCACTGAAACTAAAGAAACTATTATCTTGGATTCGTCCAGAATTGCTTCTTTTGTCATAATTATAGTCGCGAGCTGTTGGTATTGTCGTTTGTTATATGGAATTGTAATTGAGTTGTAGGCGCATTAGAGTTCAATGGTGTGTAATGGGGAAAGTAGCATGCAACTTGAAAGGTAAGGCTGAATTCCACCATTGACCCCACCATCTGCGAATGATAGAGCTTGCAGGGGCAGGAGAAGTATCCACATTTTAGTGGAACAACGATAAGATCCTTGTCTTGGCAACCCTGTCTTGGCAACGTACATTACCTATCGTGAGCCTAACAACATAACAGTCCAATCATCAGTAATGATTAAAACCTCAAACTGGCTATGATTCCCCCGATGGAACCACCTTAACTTTTGTACACTATAGCTGGTTTCTGGGTTTCTGGTTTAACGCCAAAGTCCGATGTCCTACTCAAGTTACCGAAATACACCTTTACACTTTGAATGCCCAATCTTAGGTAGTATAACTACCTATCTATCAGTTTTGTGCTTATGAGCACAACCACTTATAAACATCATGGCTCGCATCTTCATCACCGGATCGTCAGATAGACTCGGCCTCGGTATACGCTCGGCACGAGCTCTAATTAAGCGTGGACATGATGTCTATCTACATGCCCGAAATAGCCAAAGAGCGCAGGACGCCCGCACGGCCTGTCCAGGAGCCAAAGATGTCTTCGTCGCGGACCTAGCATCTGTGGAAGGGACCAAATCTTTAGCGAAACAACTCAACCAGACCGGTCCCTGGGACGCCATTGCCCACAACGCCGCACACCCCAGACTTGCGCAAGGCGTTACTAATCCCAAAAACAAGGACGGAATTCCCGTACTCTTCGTCGTTAACACACTGGCGCCATACATTTTAACGTCTCTGGTAAACCCGCCAGCAAAGCGCTACGTCTTCGTTTCTAGCGGCATGCACAAGGGTGGTGATCCCTCCTTACTCAATATCCAGCAGTGTAATTATAGCGATAGTAAACTGCACAATGTCTTGTTATCGTTTTGGTTCGCACGCCGCCTCGCCGACAGGGGTGTTCTGAGTAACGCCATGAGCCCAGGATGGGTTGCTACTAGGATGGGCGGCTCGTCAGCGCCCGATGATATCGACGCGGCTGTCGATACCTACGTCTTACTAGCTGAGGGGTCAGGAGTTGCCGAAGGCGAGACGGGGAAGTATTGGTATCAGACTCAAGCCCGGAGTTCTAGTGGCACAGGCCATGAAACTAGCTACTTAAAAGAACTCGATGACGAAGACCTACAGGACCAGTTGATCGAGACCCTTGAGAAGATTTCGGGCGTTAAGCCGCCCGAGTACTTCACGAATTGGGATATAGATTAGGCAGCTACCAGATAAGAGAATGACACCCCCTTGATTCCATTGGAGACCTTTTCACGCCAAATGTATCGAGGCGTCCTAATGCATATGATCACCATTCTATACCAGTTATGTTGCTTTACGAATATTCAAGTAGTCAGGGTCATAAAAGGTTTCCCTATGCCATCTTGCCTTACCCCAAATTGTCCAGCAACATGCCTTCATGTCTCCTAAGCCACAGAGTCCTCTTGATGTGTTGGGATGATATACCTGCATACCTCTCAATAGTTGGTCCGTAGGTACTTTACTCGGGTAAGTGGTAGGAGGAGTTCTAGAATGACATAAAATAACTAGCACAAATATAAAATAAACATAACTACTATTTTACTTCACACTACAGTCTTGAGATCATCCGAGAAGCTGATAATGTATAACCGCCATCTTTCGCCGGCCAACCGGCTTTGGCTCCCTACATCTCCAGAGGAAGTTACCGCCTTGTGGCTTACTCAAATCCTCGGCCATAAGGTCAAAGCTGCCGAGCATACAAGCTTTTCATCACCTTGACCTATGACGACGACGATGTGGATTCTACGAAGTCTACCGAGAAACCCCTAAGACGGTAGGCTCTAATCCCTAGCTATCGAGTCTATCTCATTATCTTCCATAGGTTTATAATAACTCTAAGGAATCACCATGAAGAGCTATGCTAACAGAGTTATATGTAGGATAGACCGAAGAAAATCTGTATTAAAGGGGGGTTTAATATGGGTCTCATTGAGTTATACCCTGAAGCCCTCATTGGGGGTTACAGACGCGAGGCCCTCTTTTATGGTCATGTCGCCCCAGCTTTCACCTACATCGATCTACCAAGGCCATATTGGGCTGGTCAAAATGAGGCTCAGGGCCGTGTGATCATGGACGATCTAGGAGCCCTCGGAGCGGAGTTCGGAGAGCCCACTAACGCTTGGCCTGTCGAACTTGTCATGGCGGGAGTTGAGCAGCTTGCAGGTTTGCACGCGGGAACTTGGGGTCGGGGCCATTCTGACTACCCGTGGGCTGGCCCGGAACACTACGAGGAAATCATCTGGTCCCTCTTTAAGCTATGGGATGACCTCATTCTCGGCTCGCACAGGCCGGTGATTCCTGCAGCCCTCAAGGATGAGAAGCGGATGAGAGCAGTACTCAAAAAATATTTCACTTCCAGGAATCCCAAGTTTCAATGCCTGGTACATAGCGACGCTCACATCGGCAACACATTCCTAATTAACGGGGAACCGCGATTTCTCGATTGGCAAGCGGTTCATGTCGGCTCTGCCTTGCACGACGTGGCGTATTTTATAGCCGGCAGTCTAACCGTCGAAGACAGACGAGAGCACGAGATGCGCATTCTAAATCACTATCTCGACGAGTTGAATATATACGACGATGCGTCCCTCTCGAGCCAGGATGAAGATCTCATGGTAGAATACCGAAAGTCCATGCTTGCAGGCCTGGTTTGGCTCCTGACACCTTACGAGTTGCAAAACGAAGAACGCGTTCGCGCAATGATTGAGCGGCAAGCTATGGCCTTAATAGACCATCGAGTAATCGAGCTTATAGAATCATTGCCTGATGTGGAATAGGGGAACGGCAGCGATAGGATGATAGGGCCGTATGTATATATATAGTGAGTATCTGGAAAAGATGCAGTGACTAATAGCTCTCATGAATATGTTTATCTTAGTAGTAGTAAACTTACCGTTCTTACCATGTGATCATTCTTTTTATAAGGGGTAAAATGTACTTGGAATTATGTCTAAGACGTAGTATAGTTTACAGATTCGAGATGCTCCTCCAGGTGGTGGGGTTATAAATGACCATGGCAATATGGGACCTATAACATCATAACCAGAGTTGCTATTTCGTATTCCAGATGGCCTATTTGACCACGGTTTACATTCAGGCTACCCTTCAAAGACTTCATTTCAATTTCGTTACGACCGCCGTGTCACCTACTTACCCGTTACTTACCCCTGGATCGAGATGCAATAATTCGCACAAGATACTAGCTAAAAGTTATATAATCGATCATGATTGTTGTATAGTTTTATTTATACTTCGTATCGATAGCTTCCCTCTAACGGGATAGCCACTTTCTATGCTTAGAATCTTAATACTAGGCGGCTTAAAGACCTAGCTACAAGCATAAGCTCTAGTAGTTTCTCGTAAGCGATGAGACCACACCCTCAACCGGAAAGTCGTGCTCGTTCTTGTTCTCTCCGTTCCCAGCGATTTGAGTTCCTGTGTATACACTCGAATGTGGCATAGTTGACTTGTATGAATCTTAGACAAGGGTGCCTGGATTACAAGTGGCAGCTTCTAAGCCTACTACCGCAGATCGATGGTTAGTGAGTGATTTATCGATCTGAAGAGGGGGAAATGCCCGATTATAATATATCCCTATGCACTCCTTATGCACCATTGTTCATCAACACTAAACGAAGAGTCAATTGAAGGCTATATGAATGTAATATAAGCGCTAGGCTTGGCATGCCATCGACAAGACGCACCTAAGACGTAGGGGGCCCATGTTTCAATACCTAGGTAGTATGGGGGGTATTCTTGTGCCGGGGTTATACACATATTCCACTAAGATCCAAGGGCCGGAAGTGCTCAATGTCATATGCCAATGGAAATGCTGAACGGAGTAAGATGACACCAATTATTAGATAAAGGCGTTTAGCTACAATGGAAAGTAATTCCAAAGATTTGCAGTTTAACGGTATGGACTGAGACTGCGTCGATAGTAGCCGAAAGAGCAAGTAAGGCAATCCACGTCGACAACTCTCTTGAGTTTAATTTTTCTGGGCATGCCTACCATGGCCTCACGAAATGACATGGCCGTGCGAGCATAAAGAATATGATTGTTTGCGAGACCAGCCTTCTTGAGATACTCGACGTATGGAACGAAGCCGAACTCGTCTCTTGGAAGGCCAGTTAGTACTTCGGGAGTAGGGGTAGTAACAGGGACAAGAACGTCGGCCTGAGGAACTAGAACGACGAATAATTCTTGGAGCTCCGTCATAGATTCAAGTACTTCGCGGATGGGATCCGTGGGGCCAAAGGGGATGGCCCTATCAAATTCGCTCTGCGGCACGAGGACGGCTAATTTCTTCACATTCTCTCGCCAAGGAACGGAGCGCATTGCCCAGAAGGCTTGCTCAGCATTCGAGACACACAGGTAGAGCATATCGCGGTCCCAGTCAACATAGACGGGGCGCGCTTGCGGCCGCGTGTCGTTGCATTCGTCAGGTACATTGGAAGCAAGTGTTAGAGCGAATTGGAGAGGCACGCGAGCTCGGCCTGAGGTAACGGAATCCGCAAGATCCTTGCCGAAAATAACGGGTGTCCAGATACGCTTGCATGAGAGGGCTATATCATAAGCCTCATGGTTGATCAATGGAGACGGAGGTCGTTCATCTAGAATGACGAGGTTGGTAGCCGAGTCTAGAACGGTGCAACAGAATAGAAGAACCTCCCTCTTTGGATTTCGCATTTGACTCTCAGGAGAGGGATGAATCACGAGAAGACGAGCACTTTCGAAGTGGTACTCCCAGATTAGAATACGGAGTTCTTTTGGGAGGTCATTAAAACATTCGAATGTATTGAGTGAAGTCATCTTGAGAGTACAATTGCGGTGTTTTGTCGCGAGGGTTGGGAAAATGAAGATGTTGTCGTCAAAGAATTCTAGATTAGAGTGGAGTACCTATTTGTCTAGGCTGCCTCCTTAGGTATTGTGTATGTAGGTTAGAGATTATGCGATGGGTAACAAGGACGGTAACATGGGTTTAAAAATGATGTTACCTATGAAGAAAATATATTTGGTCGCGCCGAGCATAGAACAAAGAAATATATGTTCACGTAGGATGAATTGAATAGGTTAGGTTAGGTAGGCTTATGAGGTAAGCTAGATACCTGTTATTCGTACAAGAAGGAAACTTTAAAGAAAACTTATCGTCTTAGGTACCTACCTAAGGTAGGTCGCGCATACTCCCGTTATGGGACTTCAAGTTTGGCGCTTGTTACTAGGCCTACTTGTTACTTACAAGTAACGGGCGTGGGGTGTTTTGTAAAGTACCTAAGTACCTAACCGGAAAGGCATAAAAAAGGCTGGCACAGGTACATCATATATCGTGTGAAGGCTTACCTAAGAGGCGTATAAAGATTCCAATTACATAAGCCGAGCACCACCGGGGGAGAGAGAACGATGAAATTATTCGATACCGCGCCTCGTTACAGATAAGAGATTAATGAGATCTCTCAATTAACATCCCATAAAACTATCTAAACGTTCAACACAAAATGATACTTACGCGAACCATATCAATATATATCTTGATTCAGGGGTAGGTAACAAGCTAATTAGATAATCTCCACGGTCCGCATCGCCCTGCCCCGAAAATATTTCAATCCGCCGCGTTCCCGAGGCACGGATAGAAATACGCCAACGCGAAAATACTTGCCTGGCTCGGGAGCGGGTTGGACGATGATACCGTAAGCATGCCTTTGGTCGTCATCGCTGGGCTGTGCCGGTCTCCTATGTCCATGATAAACCTCTGACACATGTCGCTGATATTCCATTTCCGTATCAACCATTTTATCATCCATACTACCTGCCGCATGATCTTGGAACCAATCTTTATCATGGTCATGGCCACGATGATAATGAACTCTATGAACAACTCGCTTTCCATGCAGACTTGCAACATTGGGGCGCCCCCTAACGACGAACACGGCCATAGGAGTGGTCTTAGTAGTAGCCATAGTAGTACCTATATCTTTACCCAACTTCTTTTCCGGCTTGTCGACCAATTCATGCTCGTATATGAGCCTAATTGGTTCCCAGCAGAGACCTTCAACCTTGCGGCTTCCGATCAATACTAAAGATAAGTCTTGAAAAGCCTCTCCGCCATAGATATCATTCCAGTCGAAGCTGAGGTCGGCAATATACTCTCCGTCTTCGACTAGCCGGCATAGTTTTTCGTTTCCATTTATACTTGTGAGTAGCTGTACGTGGCCTATAAGAGGTATGACGGCACCGTGAAGAGTGAGCTCTCCGGTTTCTATGCCACCGAACAAATCCACGCCGGTAATTGACGTTTTCGCATGGACAACACGGCATTCGGCCCGGACATCGAGAAAATCTGACTCCTGCGAAACGATTCTGAGCTGCCCGTCACCAAAATTCACTGGGTGGTTTCGGCTGGCCCAGCTCCAAGATGGCGCAACATAGGGGTTCTGCGACTTCAGGTTCTCAACCAACGCTTCTCTTGAGACAAGAGCAGCAGGTTGACGAAGTACAGACGTCCAAAACAGGTCGATATGGGGAAGCACATGTCCTGCGTAATACGCACCCCCACTGAATAATCGACTGGCAAGTCCCGATATCGCGGGAAATTTGTCGGAACGATGAGTAAGCTTCATTGTTGAATAACTCTCGACTAAGGACAAGAAGTTCAGGTATCTGTTCAACTTGTTGCGGTTACCCGGGAGAAAAACAGTTCCGCGGGTGCATTCCGACATATCTAGGGTCTCATTTCCTTCTGATTGAACGCCATGTTCCGTAATAACATGTAACTTGGTCCTCGTGAAGATGAGTGCCCGCTGTGATAATTCATATTCCTGAAGTATCCACCCTCTCATAGCCCAGTGACTGTAAGTTAAGGCGAAAGATAGTCCATCAACAGTCGCGTGATAGTAATTGTTCATCTCGCCGACGAGTCGGATAGTGTAGGATCCAGACACAGCCTCGTTCATTCTGGACTGAAACTTTATTCTCGTCATTGTCCAGTCCCTACTAAGGAACCCTTCCTGACAAGACGTCGAAGCGGGAGTACAAATTGTTAGGGTGGAATTTTGGAATATTAGAGACATCTGCGAAGACTCCCTATACCAATCCTGTTTATCATCTTGAATAATACAGACCGCATCCACCCAGAGATACCGTATGCCCAGGGTCTGCGTAACTCGAATAGCATCTTGCAGGATCGGGGAAGCTTGGTTAAAGCTAAACCCGCATATTCTCTCTTGTAATGAGCTTGTTTCCGTCTTGAACTGCCGAGAAGACTGTTCCGGAGACCCCCAGCAGTAGCTTAGAGTTGCATATTGGATATCAGATGATTGCATGAATATGGGGTCCAATCTTGTCTCGACAAGTCGACATGAGTATGACCCCTTTACTCCAACATCAATTAGACGGGTTGGATACGTCGCTCCATTCAGCGATGTCCGTATAGGATTGCTGCATTCAAAGCTATTAAAAATCATTTCAAGGTTGTCAGTGCATAAAGCCTTATCCCAAGGGGGCGGCTGAAGTCCCAGCCATTGGGAACAAGGGCCTATAACAGAGCGGGTTAGTGCCATGGGTTGGATATCCGCATCTGACGAGCGATTATATCATTTATTAATATAATTCACTCCGTGGTTGGCCTCGCTTTCCAATCCTAATTTGACCTGCAGCTTAAAGAAAAGCATCAGATGTTGAACGAAATAGATTCCTTACCGGGAGGAGAGTCAATATCAAAACGTAGCCACGTTGACAAGCTCAAGTGATCGCCTAGAAATTCTTAACTTAATACCTGCATAGGTAATCTTTAACATTTGTTATGTTCGTACCGTTCTCATCATATCCAATCCATAACAACTCAGCGACCAACGACTGAAGCTTCATCGCCGGCCCACCTTCGCCTTCGCCAGGCCTACGCCACTGGTAAAAAACGTACGCCAATACCTGGTCGAAGGAGCCTCGCGAATATTTCAAGATGGCATTTTTCAGTATCGAGCAGAAGTCACAGCCGTTATAGGCGGACTCTGCAAGACACGGTAAATCAGGAAGTGAATCCAGGAGAAAATAATCCAGTTTAAGACGAAAGAGGCCGGGATGTTCTCCCAAAGCTCTCGGTACGTCTGAGTCGTAGAATTCTAGAACGCTACATCTTTGGCATAGATGGGCGAGTGGCGGCAGCGTGGTAGTCATTTTGAGGGATGTCAATCTAAAATGCGCAGTTGTACGACAACCAGGGAGTTATTCAGCTGAACGCTGCGTCGCATGCGGATTATCAAGTTACCCATTATCTAACCATAATAGGCCACAATAGGCCATAATAGGAATAAGTAAGATCTTGAGATCACCTCTGCTTACATTTTTGTAAGGAATCAATCCTGTGCGACTACCTTGTGCATCACAACCTGGCTTATGGGTTAAAGATTCGTAGATATAGATATATCGGAGCCGTACAACGGTAATTAAGTACAATTAAGTATAGTTACGCTAATAATATTACACGGCTGGAATGCTACATATACATTAATTGATACCGATATCCCTTAGCCCTAACATACAAAATCAATCTAATATAATTAAGTTCCTTAACCATCCCCAAGTCCAAGTAAAACGCCAATGGAATACACATGCTGCAGGCAGCAAATTAGACATAGACGCTTGCGGCGGGTAAGAACCTAGGTGATGTTCTCTCCTATCGCCTTCCCCGTGAGCAACATCCATAAACATGCTTTTGCATTGCTAAGAAAAAACCATTCACCGCTATCACGACATAGAGATCGCGATCCCGAAAGGCTATCATAGTTGCATGTATACACTTTGCCTCGGTACTGCCATGTCGTGTACTTGCTCTCGGAGTTGGAGAACTGGACTTATGAGGCGTTCCTCGAAGCCCGCGACACCAATGTTTCGTGTCCGGACGACGGAGATCCGCCCCTTCCCGTCCGCATCCATGGATATGATGGTACATGCTGGCCGCATCCTGCGGGCGTATGGTGCATCATACCAACGATTACCTGGCAGCTGGATACTCGGGTCGGTGATAGAGCTGGTGATATTGATACATTCTGAAAAATCATACTCGAGGCACGAATCAACTCGGAGATAAACAACGCCGTTGCACGACTGCGATAGGACCAGACGTATGATTTGAGGATCGGTCCCGAAAGAGGGCATAACTGTGACCCCAGCATTCTCGTATGCTTAAGATAGTCTCGCGCCTTAAGATCGTACGACCCAAATACACAAACCAGCTTGCGTTGACCGTGATAGATATTTTCCGTGTGGCAATTGGGTGATACGTCGACGTGTTGGTCATGCATTGGTGCCGAAGCCATAAAGAACGTTGATTGTGACAAGGCCCCACATCCAGAAGACCTCCCGTCGGTGACGTGCAGACCACTGCTGGAATTGGTAGTTGGATTTGATTCGGCAGGGAGACTTGAGATGAAAGGCGATACAGATCGGGTAATACAGAGCAATATTTAGCAGACTAAGCGTAGCGAAATAAGATCCAAACCGTGCTCAGTTCCAATAGAAGAGCAAGGCATATGTGACATTAGCTTAGCAACGGAGACGGCTTCGACTTGAGTGGAAGGTGTAACCGTAGCGCTGTCAACATGCCTGGGCGATACCAACGAAGATTTGGTATTACAAGATAATGTTTCGTGCCATTGAAAGATCCTACCCGGTGGTGTCGTGGCCATGGATCATGGGGTGCGGTATAGCAGGAAACAGGTGTCGACATCCGTGCCGGGAAGGATACTTGCATATGCCCGCGCCTGGCTACGCCGGTATCGCATTTGCTTGGGCATTACCTAGTTGTCACTCGATATGCAGTAGTGACTTCAACCTCTTCGACGACCGCGCTGGTCGTGTAAGGGGTATGGTATGTAGTTTCCTGTCTGCGGAACATCCTGATACGACGAAGGCGTAGCTGATTGAGAAGTTCGAGGAATGATAGAGTATAATGCAGGGTCGGCAGAACCAGAATGAATTTCCATTGGGCCAGTCGTATAATTGCTCTGATACCTTTCAGACGGGCTTGGAGGCCCAGGCATCTTTTCGATGTATGGTTTCTTGCTGATAGAACGACCGCCTGGCCTTACGCTAACACTTGAACTCCGACGATGATGACGCGACGAATTAGGTTTTTCTTCCTTATGCTCCGTGTTTTTCCTGATGGAACCTATCGCATCTCTATGTTTGCTTCCTGATCGTCTTAGTGTGGGTGGTGAGGGTTCACCAGAGCCGCCTCTCATGGTACTGTCTATGACAGGATCCGCCAGGGCGAGATATTTCTGCCGATATTCATCGCGCTGGTCTCTCATAACATCGTAATCGGCTTTAAGCTCCATAACCTGTTCTGACAGTAGCACTCTCTCATCTTCGAGGTTCTTGTTGAGTCGTTCTAGTCTCGTAGTACGCTCGCATTCTTCACGATAACGCTTTTCTGCGTCCCGAGTGAGTCTGTGGGATTTGGTTAATTCGGCGTCTAGGTCGTTACACTTCTTTTGAAGTTGTTCGACTTTCTGGTTCGCTTGACCCAGTGCTTCTTGAAGAGCACCGACGTTGTAGAGTTGGTCTTCGTAGTCCTCAGCTGTGAATCTACGATCAGGTCTTCTACCTAAACTAGCCTGTTCACTAGATGACGAACCCACGCCTGAGTCATCACGACTGCGGTGGCTTTTAGATGACCCTTTTGATGAGGTCGAAAACTTGACACGTCTGTCCGACATTTTGTCGTACAAGCTGCCGCTAAGAGCTGCAAGCTCTTTATAGGTGCCTACGTGACGGTTCACACTAAGGCGACGGCGCGAAGGGGGTACCCAACGAATGGGAATAGTCGATAGATCAAAGCGAGCGGGGTGGTAGATGGGGAGGTTGTTGAGTCACCGGGATGATGACGAAGGTCTTGACGAGTATATAAATCTGCGAAGATCTCTGATATAAGAGGGATTAAGTAATGATAAGATTGCTTGACGGAGAAAAGCTAGAAGAGTTAAGCAGAGGAAAGGGTAATTGTTATAAAAGGCAACCTTAGAAACTATGATTCGCGAATGGCCGGTTGCTGCCTTGAGTCTTGACAGAATGTTTTATGTACGTATATAACACTTACACCACGAGACTCTGAGCAACTCTGAGCACGGCAGATATGGGCAGGTATCTGTACTAAATGATATGTAGCTGACCGGTTGCCTCTCACATGGAGCAGCCATGGTTCTAGGCAACACGGAGCCCTAGCCTCTATCATCCTTCCCGACGGATGAGCCTCATAATAACTCAAGGGTCGTCTTACCCGAGAAATCCAAGGGGTAGCCGAAGGTGGGAAGTGCGCCACGGCGGAAACACTCGTTTTCCCACACTCACCGTTAATTGGGAAAAGACGCCTTGCTGACTACCCGTTTCCCCCCCCACAGCGCGCCACGCAACGCGCAACGCGCAATGAGATGGGAACGGGGGAGTGCAGACGAAAAGAAACACAGAGAGAGATCCGGAAGGGTCTAGTACTGTTAGACGGCATCTTGTACTTCCCTCCTTGGGATGAGTTGGAAATGAGACTTGCCAACTTTACACCGAAAATCGAGCAAGTTGCCGAATCCGACTAATTGTCCAGCCCCCAAAACGGTTCGCCAGAAGCGTGATCTAGGTCGCAACCGATATGTAGGCGAGTTAAGATGGCGCAAGGTCCTCCTCATCTACGATCTTGATTTTTTTTATGGTGGTGGTTCTGCGCAACTGCGTAGAGTAAGATTGTCCTCGCGCGGGCGTGCAGAATGCCCGCAGATATGCCTACCTAGGTAGCCAGTCATATTGGTCGAATCAGTCAAAACTGACGGCATTGCCTGCAGGCTGGCAACGTCTCTCGAATGGCATGACGAGAACGGCAGAGAAATCCATTAGGAACAAAAGAGCAGACAGCATAATGACTCACATACAGGCTGCATTGAGGGTTACAGGGGGAAGCTTGATGCATTCGATACATGACGTCTTAGTTGATGATATCTTAACTATTGTTGATCTTCAGTTCGTCATTGATAGGCATTGGTGCCAAGGTGTGTCCCTTGTCTGACTGAGAAATGGAGATGGGAACAATAGCTATTGCCCAGCAGGGCTGAAAAGGAAGGGGTCCCCTTGACCCTAGGTAGGTACTGACCTAACCTAACTCGAAGAGGTACCATAGTACAAGATTAATTGAAACAATAAGGAAGTTTAATAGTTACGAACGTTAACTCTAATTCGTCAGAGACAAAGATGTGGAAAAACTGCGGGGTTACTCTACATATGCAATGCACACTTAAACCTAAAGGGGTAAGTATGTGTCGGTACATACCTAGGTACTCTGATTAGTCACCATATCTAACTTTAGTAATCCCTACCACTGCGGCTGTCTTTTATTGGCGAGCTATTATCAAGGAAAACATTCCTCAAAGGTCCAGAGCCAGATTCAGCCAACATGCACAAATCCATCCATAATCGACTTTTGATATCGGACCCCCGATGGCCTCCCCCGCGATTCATGTCATGATATTTGAGGATTCTTCTACACACCCTCAGTATGTCTAAGTAAAAGTAAGCGGTGAACCCTGTTGCATCCCCTCATCTGGGCTTGCGGGTATGAGTTGGCACTTCGACCATGCACAGCCGATGTTCATGATCAAACTAGGCAGCCCCGGGGATAATACGAAAATTCCCGGGTTTATGCCTTCGAAGTGAAATCTTCTAGTTTGCCGAGTGTTGAGAAGGGCAAAGGGAAACGAAAGTGCACTTTTGTTTTCAAGGACAATCGAACAACCAAACAATCAAACACGAACAAATCCGGTGACACTGATTGCTGAGCTGTCAATCATCGATAGTATTAGTATTACGTATACGCCACTCGGGTCCTACGGCTCGTGAGTAATGAGCCTGAATGGAAGTTGGCGATAAGAAATCGGTTGTATACGTACATGTTCGGGCCTCAGTGGGATGTAGCTCGGTCGAGTGCCCAAAAATATCTATGGCTATCTATTGTTTAGAGTTGTGTGGTTCGCGGCTGGGAAACTCTTGTTTGGTTATTGTAAAGTACCTAAGGCAACCAACCAATTTCTGGTTTCCCTTCCGTAATATTCTCCAACCATCCGCCAAACCCCGTCTTCAAACATAGCAACCAACGAGTTCTTACTATTCCACCAACTTATCTACGTTAGCACCCCACGTTAAGTTAGACTACATGGCATCTACA